GTTATCTACAACTGCCCGATATATTCTCACCCATTAGAGAGACTCCGCCACAAATTGAGTCACAAGTGGCCGAAGTCGCTATCATTACTCCCTTTGACAACGAAGAACCGCCCGAAACACAGGGAACGACTCCGGTTGAGGTTAGCCTAACATATCTTATTAACCAAATTATTAAATTGATCGCGATTTTTTAATTGTCATTAATTTTAACCACAGTTTAGTAATTAATATTTAAATTTTGTGATTAATTGAAATAAAGGCCACAAGCGATGAGTTTCGCGAAGATTTGTTTTCCGGCGATAATATATCGGTTCTCTCCAATACCCGAAGAGGTCATAATAGAGTAACCAATTGTGCCATTTGTTCAATACTATGATGTGATCACTCTCTCCCTATAACTTTTAATTTTTAAACAATTAACTGTTGATTATTTACATATAAGGAATAAATATTTCAATTTATTTATTCAAAAGTTCTTTTTATTGATGTACATGTTATTGTATTTAATTTCAATGAGCTATAAACTGCATAATTATTCATAAAAGTATATTTTATTGTCATAATAAATATTTTTTGTTAAATAAATCATAAGTTATAAAAGTTATATAATTTATAATATAATTTATAACCATAAAAATATATGTATATTTATAATATAAATGTATTGCTCGTCTATTAAACTATAATTTACAACAAATAAGTTTTATATTGTTATTTGTTAATTATGTAATATAACAATAATAAAGACAACTCTATAACTACATTATAAAATGAGGAGTTTTTAAATAATTGTAAATATAAATATATATTATATAAGGAAAAAATAAATGTATTTCAAATATAACATTTGTAACAGGTATTTACAGTAGTAGGTGAATGTGCATAGAGTACAGTATGTTTGTGCTAGGTTGTTTTGGTTGTAGTGGTTGTAGTGTTGGGTTCATAAGAAACTCAATGTATGCTATTATGACACCGATTGACGTCAACTGATGTGAAGAGTATTGTATGGATGCGTGCATTGAATGCAAAACATAACATTTGCACACTTTTTGTGGCACCAAATCATCACTAAATTGTCATTCAATTTATAGATCGGATAAACAGTGAATGAAATGTCATTTTCATTGAAAACAGTGTTTCGTTTGGCATTCAAAGCGACGTTTGATATCATTTTAGTGACACTAATATTGGCCACAGTTTTGGCATTACTTCCCAACCATTTGTTGCCAAACTTACCAATAGATCCCACTTATTATGAATCCGATTTCATACCAAACTCTTTGGACAATTGGAACA